AATAACGCCAAAATTATAATGAAAGAAGCGATAGCCTCTAAAAGAAAAAAAATAAAAGAGGCTTTTAATTCAATCATAAAAAAAAATGTATTGCTCATGCATCTGTAGATGTTAGTAATGTATGGCAATCGCTTCTTTGATTTTAAAGAACAATAGATACAACAAGATAAATAAACATAACATACGTAAAATTTAAAAATAATCATACAGAAAGTTTGGGGCTTTTTGGTTTTACCTTATTAAGTAATTGTTATCAGGTACTAATTGTTAATTTTGAAGTTTAAATATCAAGTTAAAAATGTCATTTTAACAGAACGTCAACGGTTTCTTGTAGATGTATCTGTTTTAAAAAAGTAGTGTTCTCGATTAGTTGAATTTACATACCTATTTTAAATAGTTCTTTTCTTTACTCTTTGTATTTTTTTGCTTCCGACGACGGAAAGAGATAACTTTCGAAACATGGCATTTTTTTTTTCTTTGTTAGGCAAATTTGTATTACTATAAACATAACTTCTGACAAGCAGCGTCCGTTTAGGTTTAACGCAGAAGTGTTTACAAAAAATAATTATTTTATTTTGTAGATTTTCTTGCAGTGCAGTGGCGAAATACCCATAAAGGATTTTTTTGGAAAGATGAATCCGCCACATAGATATAGACATTCTCTACAAAATATAATTGACTGCAAATTAAAAACGAATTTCTACGTTTACATTTTAGATTTCTACTAGTAACACCTCTTGTAGTAAAATTACGTGACTAATTCCTTGAATATGCCCCACCTACCCAACGACACACTGTAACATTCTTGGTTTTATAATTTTTTCCAAGGACGTCAAGTATTTCGCTAAATACACCCCAGAATAAATTATATCGGAACAATGCTTTCTTTCGATTGTAATTGCCGGTATATTACGCGACAAGTCTAATGAAATCCGTCATCGAAATTACGGGGAATTGCAAATGGCATGATTGTTTCTGTTTAAGGATTTAGGGAAGATAGATTAGTACTTGTATTAGCACTTAGTATTCTTTGATATTTCTATGCGTTAAGAAAATTACTTAGAAAACATTAGTTTGTGTAAAATGTAACTAAAAGAATGTTGAATTACAGCTTGAAATATGGTGCTTTCATAATGCATTAACATTAAATGAATCTAAAACAGCATTTATAAGATTCGACATGAAGCAAGCTATAAAAGAATTAAATATAGTTATAAAGGAGCAAAAATATATAATAAGACATATATCTGAAGTTAATTATCTAGGAATGAAAATTTATAATAACTTATAACAGGACACGCATATAAAAAGATTAAAAAAAGAAAACGCCAAAACAATTGCCAAAAACCGATGTATCATTCGTTATTTTCATCTAAGAACATACAGGGTGAGTTCTCTACGATGCTCTCTATGGATATCTTGGAACCTACTGGAGCTAGAGCGTCTGTCAAATAGGGAAAGAATTGCAGTTTTGTGAGGAAAAACATATGCGCCTTTCGGATTTTTGAAAAAAAATATGGCTTACTAGTCTACACTAATATATAAAATCCTTAAGATCCTGCTCAAATCACTCAACGTAAGAAGCTCAGACTTTTACTAACTTTGACTCAGATTTTTACTAACTTTATCCATTTAGTTGATGAATTTCAAAAATATCTAGTAAGTGTTTTTCACTTAAGAGTCCATTTCATCGTTCCGAAAAAGTAGCAAAATATGGCTAGGAATTTTTACACAAATGAAGAAGGAAATCTACATATACTAATATATAAAATCCTTAAGTGACTGACATACCGATTAATCACGATCCTGCTCAAACCACTCAACGTAAGCAGCTCAATTTTGGCATACAGGTTAATTCTAGGGTGTAGAGGTTCGAAAAGAAGGGATTTCTCAAAATTCCTGTTCCAATGGGTTCCCCTCAAATATTACAATATTTTTTATTTAAAAAACGGTCAAGTTTCCGAAAAAAACGCTTAAGCACGTATATTTTATTTTTTTTACATATTTTAAGAATTTTTAAAAATGTATACAGGATGTTTCGAAAAATCTGGTCATTGATTAATCACGATCCTACTTAAAGCGCTTGACATAAAAAGCTGATTTTTGGAAAACGGATTGACTTTAGGGTGTAGAGGTTCGATAAGAAGGGATTTTTCGAAACTTGAATTCTAAGGGGGTGACGCAACCACCCCCCAAATATTAGAATATTTCTTATTTAAAAACCGGTGAGTTTTTCGAAAAAACTCTTAAACATGTATATTTTATTTTGTTGTTTTACATATTTTAAGATTTTTTAAAAATTTATACAGGGTGTTTCACATAATATGACCATTCACGATTCTGCTTAAGCTTCTTGACGTTTAAAGCTGATTTTTCGCAAACGGATTGACTGTGGGGTGTAGAGGTTCGATAAGGAGGGGTTTCTCAAATCTCAAATTCCAAGAGGGTGAAAACGTCCCTCAAATATTACAATATTTGTTATTTAAAAAACGGTTTTACGACGCGAACGAAGTCGCGGGTACACGCTAGTACTATACATATAGAGTTTTATAAAAAAACAAATTTTGGCTGTGATTTTAAAAATGCTCCCTAATTCCATTATAATCTATTATAGACAAAAAAAAATGAGGTAATAGTTGTAAATAATCCTTAATGAGATTGTGTTCTCGTTTTTTTTCTTCTAAAGCCTGTCATTTTTGACATATAACAAAAACTTGGCCATAATTTTTTAAAAAACCGAAAGGCGCATGTATTATTTGATCTCACAAATCTGCAATTATTTCCCCATTTGACTGACTCTCTTGCTCCAGGAGGTTCCGAGATACCCATAGAGAACATCGTAGAAAACTCAACATGGATATTTAATTAACACGTGGGGCAATAACAAAAAAATCATGCTACAAAGACAAGAAAATAGAATACTAAAAGGAATATTTAGTCTAGATAGACTAACACCATCAGAAAAAGTATATCAAAAAACAAAAGAATTGAACATCAGACAATTAATGAAATATCATAATATATACTTCTACACGAAATTCTAAAAATAAGTTAACAAAAACACGAAAACTCTCAAAGAAAACTTTCATAAAAATTAGCAGCAGAAACTACCACAAAATATAATATGTTACCCAAAAAAATATTATAATTAAATTATAAAAACTCTAATAGGTCAAAAACATAATATTTAGGAGAATAATATAAACTTAGACGACATTAAATAGACAAATATACCTGTGCGTCTCAAAAGTGGCTCACACCTGTAATTTTTTCAGATAAGAAAACGAGATTTCATATGTTAGTAGATTACATAAATTAGGATTAATTGACGTATTCAATTGTTTATGACCACTTCCTGTTTCACCGGAATTGACTACAACTTTTTATTTTTAAATGACACTTTCGGTATTTTTTACTTTATTCGATAGAAAATGGCACTCTCAATAGTCTCAAACGACATACGTCAATTTTTGACATTTTCCCTTAAAAATTGTATTTTAAATTCTAATTTTTATCAAGGAGGCTTGGAAAAATAGATTTGATCGTCTAATATCTTTCCTGTCTTGTACTGGCCGATTTTTTACGAATAATTGTGTACTACACAGTTGGTATTTCGAGTCAAATTGTCGTTATGAACCCCATGTTATAATTTCAAATAAACCATATGCGGAAATGTCAAAAGTTGACATATGATATGTCATTATATTCAGGCTGTTATTTTCTATCGATTAACGTAAAAAAAATACCGACGCGACGGTGTCCTTTCAAAATCAAAAGTTGTAGTCAATTCCGGTGAAACAGGAAGTTGGCAAAAACAATTAAATACGTTAATCAATCCTAATTTATGTTATATACTAACATACCAAATCTCGAATCTTTTATCTAAAAAAAATAAAAAAATTATAGGTGTGAACCACTTTTGAGACGCACCCGGTATACATGTATGGTCTCTGGCGAAATACTCTGAATACCGACTCTGTATAGATGGTAAAAAAAGTATAACATCTTAACATGGCAGTTAGTTAACACGTTACCGATCAACCATACAACAAAGGCGATAATAAAGAAAAAAAAAGGTCCAGAAAACAATTGGTTAGTGGAAAATAATAAATTTCTAAAATAATGGAAAAATTCACTATGACAAAGACAGGCAAAGTACATGGTAGGATACTCGCCAGAATTTACGACAGCTTTGATAAGCAAATATAGAAAAATTCTCAAAACTCTAGTGAGTTTTAAGTGTGTATTAACATACGTTCTCTTCTAGAGAGACAGTACAAGAATAAAGTGGATATAACAAAAGACCCAGGTAATAGATGTCATCCACAGAATCAAATCCCTCCATTGGCGGTGGGCAAGACACCTGGCAAGAAGGACGGACAACAAATGGACCACAAAAGTTACAGCATGGTACCCACGAGGAATCAAGAGACCTAGAGGAAGACCAAACCTGAGATTCCTAATATCCTAATAGTCTCCTAATATCATGGTCCATTAGGAAATTAGCAGGAATAACTTGGGCCTACATAGCGAACAATATACAACAATGAGTCCAACTACAAAGAAAGTATCAAAATATGTGAGAGAGGCTACACCATAATTGGAAATGGTTGAATAAGGTGAAAATTATTATGATGATGATTAACATACATAAGTCTTGTGTAGATACTATCAATCAGAAGAAGGAACGTCACAACACATTCTATATAAGTGCATTACCTTGGCAAATGTGCGGTTCTGTTACTAGGCGATGATAAGCCGTTGTCAAAACATATAGAAGATTCAATCTCCAAATTAGAATTTGCGAAAAAGATACCTACTACTGAAGAACATAGTCTAGAAACCAGAGAATCACAGTAGATTAAATTTGTTATGGAATAGGTAAAAAGTCAAACATTTCTATAAAGGTTTGGATTACCATTTTGAAACAAATACAGTTATACGTTAAGTTTGTTCTAAGATGTATACCTACTATGTAATTATATAATTTTATATATTACCTTCTGATGTACATCCTTTCCTTTTAGCTTCATCTGGCCATGAGCAAATGCCAGCTTTCTCGTTATAAACCAAACCGTTTGGACAAATGATCATGTTGTATTTTCCATCGACACAGTAGTAGAATTTGTCGCAAATATTTTTTTCTTCGTGCGCAAAATATCCGTGTTTCCTAGGACAATGTTCAGTTGGTTGTGGAGTTTCTAGAAACAAAAGGAATAGATAAAAATACTTTGCCATTATTCAATATTTGTATCTCAAAAACAGAATTTTTTAGTTCTGGTAATTGTTCGGCATGGAAAATTCAAATAAAAAAGCCTTAGTATACTCTTGTACTTTTGTATTAAAGTCAAATTTTAAGTTAAAAGTTTCTTCTTAACAGCAGGGAGACTATAGTTATTAAAGATTGTCATTTATTGTAAACAACAAAGATATTAATTAACTTTAAAATAGTTTCACTCTAATTACTACAATATCATCTCAGTTCCAATATATTCTCTAATAATCCTCTGGGCGCAGTTTTTTAGATTATATTAAGAATTATTAGGATATATTATTGATTGAAGAAATAAGAAGATGCGCAACTTTATGGGCGATTTCGTGGCATAAAACCTGTCCGAGATGTAGCTGTCAGCTGTTGCTGTAGCCGTCAGCCTGTCCGAGATTTAGTTTAGCTGGTTTAGCTCTGCGCCACTGCACGTTTGTCGTTTGCAGGGCAGCGGATAAAGAATACTGTACTGTAGTTCTGCTTTCAGTCGACAGAGTGGATGCCGGAGACAGTGCTGCCAGAACTACTGATTAATCCACAGATTTACGGATTTTAAGTACAGTACGTTAATAATACGGATTTTTTTTTATCATTAAACAATTTAATATAATATTATATGATTAAACAAAGAACGGCGTCAGAGTTGGCTTAGAAGTTAAAATCGCTGTTATTTCATATGTAAAATATTATGGTAAATGTCAATAATTCGTCATCTCCAAGCCAACTAAACAACTTTTTAAAGAATTTTTATTTTTGTTGTTTATTCTATGTTTGACACGAATACATTTTCAATGCCTAAACGGGGATTATTCATCCAAAAATATTTTCATCAAACGTATTACAGATATTACATATTTTAATATGGCAACACTGTCGCTTTCAATTCCACGCCGTCTTCAATATGCCTTCGCTGGCCGAATTAGAGAAAATATGCGTTGGCCGCAGAACGATTGGTGTCTCCACCGTACAGCACTTGAGACGTAAGAGGAAATAAAATCAGCCTTGTCACGAATTCGCCCATTAGGTTGCGTATCTTCCCAATTCTTTCAGTCAACGATAGTACTAAATCTGAGATACAAGAATGAATTAAAGAAAAAATTCAAAGTATTTCTGCCATATATTAATTATTAGGCTACTTACGCAGTTTAGGTCTTGCACTACAATCAATATTGAAGGGTAAATCACATTTTTCATATTCAGTGCTGTAATCGTTGAAAACCATACCATCAGGACATAGTTTCTCAGTTATGGCACCTTCTTCGCATTGGTAGTACTTATCACATTGTTCTGCATCAGCAAAGAAGCCGTTCGGTTCGGGACATTCGTCTGACGTTAGAGCATCATCTTCGCTTTTTGATTTCGAAGATTTTCTAGAGGAGGCTGCATATGCGCAAGCTGCAAATACCAAGATAAAAGTTAATTCTTGTCTAACGGCCAGTGAATAGTATCACGGAACATATAGCTACGTACAATTTTTATTATAAAGTATTCTGTAATAAAATATTTTCTACTGTACATCTGAGGTTTCTAGTAATCCAAAAATGTAATAAAAATTGAAGTGTATCTAACCATCAAACTTCTTCGTCCACTACAATACAGTAAACCTAACCAAATCAAAAACTAATCTACTCCTTTATATATTTATTTAAATTAATTATTTTTATTTTTTATTATTTATTTTCATTTTATTTTTCCGTCAATGGTTCAACATGTAGCGTGATATATTTATGTTGGTTAGATAAGTTTGTTTAATAGTAATGAGCCAACAAGAAGAATTCTTATATATTGTTTGTGATCTGAATCTGCATATCTTATTATTTAAAATATAATTTGTTTCTTCCTGAACTTAGTTTGTATCTGTTCATTTGTATTTAAGTTTTCAATATATCACTTTCATCATAAGAATGACTGTGAATGTTATATCAAAGTATTTTTGCTATTGTTTGTTAAGGTCAGCTAGTTGTGATATAATGAATAAATCAAACTAAATCTGGAAAAAGGCATAATTTTCTTTCTATCTTTTATTTAAATATTGGTCTTTTAAATATTGGAGTGCTGGATATTATCAAACAATACAATTTGGAAAGAAAGAAATCTGTATTTAAGATAAAACTTTTAAAAATGTCAATTAAATATAGAATTTATTAAAACAATAATTTATTGACTTAATACAATTCAAAAAATACCTATATTATGAAATGTATAAACGGAACTTTAAAAATTCAGTGAAAATAAGGCACGCATTTTAATTCTGACACTTTCAAGTCTTTCAACAATTTTTTCGGAGCCATTGTCTGTCTTTTTATTTTCCTAGTCTATCACACACCCCACACCTGACACCAATTGTTACGTTTTTCGTCGGTTCCGTGTGGATAGAAAGTCACAATTTATTTAAACACTATTTATTTAACACTAATGAACAAAAATAATAACGATAAAAGACTTATAGAACTATTTACAAAACGATTTATAACTAAGAATTTATTTTGAATTTTAGCGCGTCAACTGTATTTATAACTGCCTCTCTAGGCCACTGCCGCCGGCTTTTATACCGACAGGTAAAAAGAAATCTAGAATAGTCCAAAGATCGTTAGGCGCATAGAAGAAGGTTTCGAATGTTCTCGTATGTACGGTCCATTCTATCAGGGTCTCGATTCTTCTCGAACGAATGAATCATTGGTGGTGTCTATGCGATGTTAAGGTCATCCGAGGGCGGGCCATATTGTGAGGTTAGGTCGAGTCCACACCGGCTCGACAACAATACAGGAAGATCATGCGCAAATCACTTACAAGCAAGTAGAAGAGACAATAAGGAAACTTAAAAATAGAAAATCTCCTAATCAAGATAAGATACCAAACGAGCTAATAAAAAACGCAGGCACGGCTATCATAGAGGAATACACAAAACTGTTTAACATTATATTACAACATAAGAAAATACCAGAAGAATGGAAACAAAGTATAACAATACCCATTTTTAAAAAAGGAGATAAAACAGACCCAACTTAGAGGAACTTAACAAACTATAGAGGAATAACATTACCGAGCACCTCGCTAAAACTTCTAAGATCATTGCGGACAAAATCTCCTCAATAGTGCCAATAAGCGAGGAACAACAAGGATTCCGAAGAAACAGATCAACTACCGATGCATTATTCATACTCAGGCAACTAGTTGAAAAATCCTTAGAATATAACTCTCCAGCCTATCTGTGTTTTATAGATTTAACAAAGGCCTTTTATAGAGTCCAACTAAAAGACATCATCACCACCTTGGAAAGCAGTAATGTCTCGAAAGAACTCACAGAACTTATCAAGGACTTAAACACAAACACAACAACCCAAATAAGAACAAACTTTACCTTAACGCAGCACCTTCGAACTACAACTGGTATTCGCCAAGGCGACAGTCTTAGCTCTCTGTTATTCAACATAATCATGGATCAAGTAATAAAAACCGTCAAGAATACTGGATTAGGATATCGAATGGGAATGCATAAAGTAAACATATTATGCTATGCCGATGACGCAGTACTTATTGCAGAGTCAGAGGACGACCTCCAAAGAATGCTACAAGCTTTTAACAGACAGGCAGAAAAACTTAACATGGAAATTTCCACAAATAAGACCAAATGCATGACCATTACAAAGGAGCCTTTACGGTGCAAATTGGTAATAAAAAACAAAACTATTGATCAGATAATGTTATTCGAATACCTCGGATGCAAAATTACAAGCTCAGGATTCCTGGAAGAAGAAGTAAGGAAACAAGCCAATAAAGCTGCCGCAATATCAGGACATCTTAAATATCCCATATGGAAAAACAAACATTTGAGTACAGAATGTAAGTCAAGATATACAAAACCTGCATAATGACCAGTGATGACATATGGTGCGGAAACCAGAGCTGAAACATCAGTAAAAAGAATCCGACGAACTACTGAAATGTGAGACCTTAAGAATGATAACTGGATACACATTGAGGGGACAGACAGAGAAATGTGTAGACATAAGAGAAAGTGCCAACGACGTTGTCAGATGGATAAGGCAGAGAAGAAGAGAATGGAACCAGCATGTCAATAGAATGGGCCCCGACAGAATGGCCATAATAATTCGCAATAACGTACCCCATGGCAGAAGACCTACTGGACGACCACCTAAACGTTGACAAGACAGTTGGCAGTCAACCTCGCAAGAGTTGCTTAGACGAGAAGGAAACCGGAACTAAACAGGCGATACGCCTTCTAAAAGAAAAAAAAAGAAGAAGAAGACTTCAATTTAGAGAGTATTATCATAACAATTCCAATTTTAGGAACAGTGATCCATCTTCAGTATACACTTCACACAATTCAGCAACACGTCAGTAAAATTTTGTTATATTTTTTAATATGCAATATACAGAGTGTCTCAATATTCCATGGACATAGAACTGCTACGTATTTTTGGAATCAAAATAAGTTGATTGGACACAATTTACTTTTATGCAAAAGTGCTTCGTTTGTCCGCTAGAGGACATCAGAGTTTAAAAAATAAACACCTTTTTTAGATATTTTAAGAATCGTTATTCCGATTTGAATGAGATTTTGGGTGTCTATGTTTTGCTAAGTGCTCTAACATTTGACTTTTACAAAAATCAAGGAAAAGAAGATGTAAAAACTACCAACACCCCTACATCATTTTTAGTATAAATACGTAAAATGATCCTAGTATTTATCACATTTTTTGTCGCTTGAAAAAAAACGCCACCGCACATACATTTTCAGGAAAAAAAAATATTTTTCGACAGCTGACTTCCAAAAAATAGTCTAGTTGGCGAAAATATGGTATTTCATGTTAGTATAACGATTAATATTGGACTTGTAATAAGCTTCATAAAAAGCTTCAGGTTTATTTTTGATTAATGCTCTCTAAGGGACAAGCGAAAGCACTTTTGTATAAAGGTAAATTATGTGCAATAAATTATTTTATTCAAAAAATACGTAGTTATTCTATGTCCACGGTATGTCCAACTCCCTGTATGTTTTGTAGATCTGCTTTGGAATAATAAATTCTCCAAAAAAAATTTCTCAAAAACGACGAAGAGACAAAAATGTAGTAAATACTATAGGGGCCATTTTACGAAAAGAAAATCAGTCGTCGATGGAATTGGAAAATAGTTATACTAAAATTTATGTAGGATTAGGCGTAGTTTTCACCGTTTTCTTCTCGAAATCTCAAATTTATAGACTAAGAGTACCCCTATGTGAGAAAATATTTCAGAATATTTCAAGGTTTTAACTTAAATCATTTTTGTTTAATTATGATAATTTGTCCAGCGGGAATTTGAGAAAGTGAAAGTGATGTACTTGATGGGTTTTAAATTTGATATATTAAATATTTTAACAGACAACACGAACTAGAAATCAATACATAGACCGTAACAATTATCTTCGGGGCAAAAATAATTACTGAAAGTACATTGTATATTTATAAAAAAGAAAATTGTGTTAAGTTAAATGAGAGTTGTTAATCAACCATAATAAAAAAAATTATCAATTTTATTTTTTATAATCACGATTTCAAATTTCTAATAAAAAAGTACCCTGAAGTTGATTTTTATTGAATTTTCCAAATCATGTCTGTGATGATTAAGGTAAGAAACGACGTCACAAACGGTTTCGACAAACAACATCACAAATTCACTAAAAAATAATTTACTTTCGAATGAATATGACAGACAACAAATGTCACTGTCATATATTTTTTCGTTGGGTAAACATATTAACTCTCTGCCTCTGTAATTTTTTTTTATTATTTAACATTAATTGTGTTCATATTATTTTTCCATAACTATTAGTATTCTAACATTGGTTTAACAAAAAAAAAGAGGAATATTACATTTAAATAATCCTATTATTTTGTAATTTTACGTACGTCAAGTACCGTATGATCTAAAAAAACGGTGTCAGCGATGGCTATGAAATGAAGATCGCGGTCATTTTATATGTAAAATAATATAGGGAATATCATCGATGTTTATTTCTAAGTCAATCTTTCTATATCTCTAAATACCATACGATAAAAAAACGGCGTCAAAGACGGCTGGTAAATGACCATCGAAGATAATTTTGGCGAAGTCTAGCCCTACACGTCATTACTTAGCCCGTATTCTTCTATATTTTTTAATGGCGCTTACGGTCAGTTGACCTTAAGGAGGTAGTAACTTATTTTTATATCGAGTAAATATTATTTTTAAATGTGAACTAGTTTAAAATTCCAGAAAAATATTTTTTTGGAAATAGATTTGTGTCCAGACACAAATATGAATGAAACGTTATATCCTTTTTTTTAATATTTCTACAACTAGTGTGAATTTTTAACAAGTATTGTAATTTTTTGTAAATGACGAGTAGACGTTGACCTCGCTAAAATTATCATCGATAGTCATTCCCAGCCGTCTTTGACGCCGTTTTTTTCGGTCGTACCGTATTATTTTAGTTATTCATTTTAGTTGCGTGTTAAGTTAAAGTCAACTGTTATATAACAACACACAGCCATTCATAGTTCTTACATAAAATAACACTAATGAAGTAATTTAGATATAAAATAATATTTTATATATTGGAAATTTTTTTACTTTCTTATTTACATATAAGTGTCTAATTTTAATATAATTAATACTAAAATATTGAAAAGTATACATAATATAATAACAAAATCAATAAAATTAAAGCATATACAACAAGAAACACATTTTGCACACACATTATTTCTTATCAACCTTTAATTCCAATAAAATATTTTAAAAGCATAATTTAACATACAGAGTATAAATGAGGTCGAGAAAATTCAAAAATGTGATAGTTTTTTCAAAAATAATGTGAATTTTCTATTTAAAGTGTTTCAAGTTGGCATTCATTCACAAGATATTTGTTTATACAGGGTGAGTCTTAAATTAGTGCAAATATTTTCAGGGCTGGTAGATCTCGATAAAAGAAACATATTTTCTCTTTGCCATTTTTCAAATTTGTCCAAAATAACCGAGTTATTTTACTTTGAAAATTTCCAACAAAATATTTTTTTGTTTAAATTTTGGGAACCGCTCTTTTCTGGGTTTTCTTTCTTGTAAATTTAATCTATTACCTATATTGCCACATTATCAAGAATTTATGTTATTTTAACTAAAAACTAAAAAAAATTCCAAAATTTTTTTCAAGAGATTCCAAATTTTCAATTTTCTTTTTTCACAAAAAACTCATAATCGTGTTTCAGTGGTAGAAATATACAACCCTTGAAATTATTTGCACTTATTTAAAACTCACTCTGTATAGAGTAAATCAAAATCACAATATGTATTTCACTGTCAGTTTGCACAAGCACATGCACAAAGTAATGATTGCAATTATATATTACTAGGTAAATTGTAGACGAAAATATATTGACAGATCTACTGCTTGTTTATAATTTTAATGTCCAGTTTAATAAAATAATCCGCAAAATTATAATTTTCAAATTGCTTATTGGGTTACAAAAGTAAATGTAGTAAAATGTTACAAGTGAAACTGAACTTAAAAACATGACACTCGACTTGAAAATATGACTTATTAATAATATTAATACCTCAAATATCAAATTTTTAATCTAAACTGTTTTTGAAAAATGTTGCGATTGTTGTGTTGGTTCACCTTACATCATGACCAAATACCATACAATATTACCGTTGAGGTGTGGAACTTTTGGTGTTACAACAGCATAATACAACACTAATTCACCACAATACACCAAAACAATTTACTTTAAACACTAGACGCGAGTTTCGCTAAGAAACTCTCAATTTGTAAATCTTAGTTTAGTTTCAATCATCTGCTGATGATGCTAACATAATTAGCGAAACGCGCGTCTAGCGTTAAAAGTAAAGTGTTTTGGTATATTGCGGTGAATTAAAAAATCTGCGTCAGAGTTAGCTTGGAAAAGAAAATTATTGCTCTCATTTTACATAAAAAAATACAGGGTGCGTCTCAAAAGTGACTCACCCCCTATAACTTTTTTATTTTTTCAGATAAAAATCGAGATTTGGTATTACAATATATGACATAAATTAGGATTAATTGACGTATTCAATTGTTTTCTGTCACTTCCTGTTTCACCGAAAATGACTACACCTTTTGATTTTTAAATGGTACCCTCGGTGTTTTATTGCTTTATTCAATAGAAAATGACACTCTGAATAGAATGACATATCATATGTCAACTTTTGACATTTTCGAATATGGTTTATTTGAAATTGTAACATGCGATTCATAACAACAATTTGACTCGAAATACCAAGCGTGTGGTACCAAATTATTCGTACAAAAATGCTTTTTCCAAATATGCTAATGAGTAATGAGCCACCCTCGTTCCATTTCAAAAAAAATGAGATATGATTAAAAATACGATTTGGGCATCTTTTAACCAGCTAGGACAAGACACGAATAACATTAGACGACCAAATCTATTTTTCCAAGGCTTATTGATTCAAAATTAGTGTTTTTAATACAGCAATACACTCTAGATTGAAATTTAAAATTCAATTTTGTTTTAAACAAAAATGTCAAAACTTGACATATGATATTTCATTCTATTCAGAATGTCATTTTCTATCGAATAAAGTAAAAAAGTACCGGGGGTGTCATTTAAAAATCAAAAGTTGTATTAATTTCCGGTGAAACAGGAAGTAGCCGAAAAGACTTGAATACGTCAATCAATCCTAATTTATGTCACATACTAATATACCAAATTTATTTTTTTTATCTGATAAAATAAAAAAGTTATAGGGGTGAGCCACTTTTGAGACGCACCCGGTATATGATAATAAATGTCATAAATCGTCATTTTCAAGCCAATTTGATTTTTCTCGATCATACATGGATTTTTTACATTAAAACCCAGATCAGAAAACTTTATATGAAAATAAAACATCTCTCACTTTCTCAAGTAGTTGCACTTACTCATTTATACCCTGTATAAATAATTGATCTAAAAAGAAGAAAAGAGAAGGAAAGCATGGTCCACTGTCACTGTCAAAAACATTATGCAAGTTTTTTAAAGTTTTATATTTTTCCTTAATTCGCCTTAATATTAAGAAAACCAAATAAACCACGACCAACTGTTAAACACGTATGTGGCATTTTACTGTGACCTTTTACAAAATTAACATTCAAAGAAGAATTCGAGAAATGTCATCAGGAGTAAACAACGGCTCATCGTAACATGCAAGCTTTCACTTTTCGATCAATTTGATGACTGAAATTTGAAACCGGAAAGTCCAGGTATGATCTTTAAGTAAAAATCACTCGTAGATTAAATGATAGTTGTATAAAAGTTGTTAAAAAAACTTACCAGCAAGTGCAAGAACGAGCAACAAAGAAGACGCCGCTTTCATTATTAGACTGTGACTGTGACTGGGCGACGCAGCCGAAGAATTTGCAGTTATAAGAGAGAGAACGCAAAGGTGTGCGTAGCAAAGGTCCGTGGTAGTACGACCTTGGCTGGACGAGCGAAGAGTTGACTGATTTTCCCGAAAAAAATCTGGTTTTTGGAACGTGGATTTCCGGAAGAATTTGCCGAAAATATCATACTAATATTTAGTGTTCCATAAAAAATGAACATGTAGCTATAGCTTGTATATAATTTTTGCAGAAAAAGATTAAGGAGATATCAACCTAGATAAAGTTATCTAAAACGAATTCTGTGGAATAAACTTAAAAAACATAGAATGTGAAAAAATGCCAAGTTTCGCAACACAATTCCTACGCTATAAAAAGTTGTGCGATCTCATGTAAAACCAAGTCAGTTTATTTTATTTAGTCTCTATTTAAACTGCAGTGCACCTATTCAACAATTTTGATATAAATTATTAGTATCAATATCAGTCATCTTTATTTCTATAATAATTATAATGACTTGGCAATTGCATGCAGGGCACCAAAATTATTATAAAAAAGAATAATCTACTATTTCGATTACTAAGTAAATCTAAACGGTGCACTTAAGAATAAAGTTTTTTAATTACTACAGAATATCATATCGTGCAATTGCCAAGTCATTATAATTATTATAGAAATAAAGATGACTAATATTGATACTAACAATTTATAACAAAATTGTTGAATAGGTGCTTAAAGAGAGACTAAATAAAATAAACTGACTTGGTTTTACAACTTTTTATAGCGGATGAATTGTGTTGCGAGACTTAGCATTTTTTTATATTCTATGTTTTTTTTATGGGATCTTATTTCTTTTTGTAGGTTATACTTCTATTTTTTTTCGGGTCATTCAAAATAATATTAAAGAAGTTTGACTATAATTCATAAACTTTGAATTATGGTATAAAGTCAGATAATATCAAATGGATTAATATTCTAGTTTTCTAACGACTTGTGTTTCCGACTTTCGTTATAACTCAAATATCAACTTTAAAAATGTTAATTCATGATTTTACCAATGCTTATTCAAAATTATTTTTTTGTCAATTTTACAAATATTTTATTTTTTATCTCGAAAACTATAAGAGATATGAGAGTAGTTTCCAAAAATGTAATAATATACTTCCATTTAAAATAACAAAGATGCTACCACTTTCCAAATGATCCGGCAACACTGTAACGCTGATAATATTTTAGATAGATGGTGCCTTTATATAAAAATCAAAATTTTTAAAATAATCCTATCACCGGTCCTACTATTACCATCACCGGAAAGTCGGTTACCACTAATAGCGACTAGACAGCTAACTTTTGAGCCATAAGGATATTTCAAGATTTTTAATTTTTTCCTTCCATTATAAGCTTAAAGCTACCAAAAATTCAAAGTTTGTGTTACATCTAGAAGTACTTTAGGATTTTGATGACGGCGAGTGAGTCACTGGCGAACTTAAAGAAGTTTGACTAGAGAAAATTCAGAGTCCTTGAATTATTGTTTAAGATATGTATTTAATATTTTACAATCAGAGTTATTAACGAAAATAAAATTAAAAAAAATATGCCCCGAGGCAACCTCGAACTCGAGTCTCCGGGTGTACCAGCTGAATACTTTCGCGCTGCACTATCATAGGCCAGTCGCCAAGTATTAAAAAATAGCTTATGGCGGGAGCAAATCCGAACAAGCTAGAATAAATGTTATTTTGTTTAGTTTAGTGTCAGGAACCACGTGTTAAATTTGCACCACCCCCAAAGCCCGGATTTGGCCGCCATCTTGGAAAAAGTGGCTAAAATTCGGTTTATTTTTCATTATTTGTCAATAACTCGATTTCTATCAACTTTAGTGCAAAAAATGTACAGACCAAAATTACAGAAGAAAAACGTTCTATGTACTTCTTCCGTTTGATGACCCGTTTCCAAGTTATATCGGTTTAAATACGCTAAATATATTATAAGCAGCTATTATTTCCTCTATTCTAGGCAGTTTTTGTCTTTCCGAGAACCTTACTCGTTTTATTTCTCCACGCATTTAGTGGCTGCGACACCACATCCGCATTATACAGACAAGGAAAAATGAAATTCGTTAAAGTTTTACAGAAAGAAAAAGAATTATTACAGACAGCTGCACAAACTTTCAAAGACCCAAACGCATCCCCAAAGATATAGAAAAAGCCGGACAACGATTTTTTCTTCATCTATACGGATCCAAAAAATAAGACTCATTAGATAAGTACAGATACCAATGTTTCGTAAAATCTATTACCAAAAGCTTACCAAACCTAGCATCATTACCACCGACCAAAGACGCAGCTCGCTTGCACTCCTTCCGTACGTACAGTCAGGTACAGCTATGGTATGGGAATGAAAAATCACCTCTGGATTGGGGATGGAAAAATTCAAAGAATGGGTTGATGCCTATTGCTACTTCCTAAGGTGCAGCTCCCCAAAAATTATTAAATCTGATTTCATGTAAATGTGCCAAAGGTTGTAGTACATCTTGTAGTTGCAGCAAAGCAAGTTTGCGTTGCTCGGTAATGTGTGCACTTTGTCAATGCAAATCATGTTCGAATAGTTTGGAGGTGGCAAAATTAGACGAAGATGAGTACGAGGACAATTTTCCTCTCGATAAAGATCAACGAAAAGAATATTCTGCACCTTATGAACCAGATCCGGAATATGATACAGATGTGGAAGACATTCAGGAAGATTATATTGAACAGCCAGTAATATCAAAAAAACGAAGGAACTCTGATGAACCTTTCACCTCAAAAGAAACCGAAGTTGTCGACATGTGGATTAGGCCTATTGGAAATGGGGAGACCACTAAAAAAACGCCCCGGGTACTTTACCTCAAGGCAACTCCCTGAGAGATAAGGCGGTTAAACTTGATTTTCCACCAGTCACGCAACAATAAAAATTTAGTCCGTTATTGCGGTCATAATACAAATTGCGTTCGTCCATTATGACCGCGACAGCAGGCTACTGCCAACCAGTGGCAAACAAGTTTTTATGCTTGATGTCTCGGGGGTGCCGCTCAAGGTGGTGTGGAAATAAGTACAGTTAACCCTGGATATATTGAATATGTACATTATATCAAACTTTAATTTTGTTTACGTAAAATTCCATACTTTGGGTAGTCGCACGAAAAAATACCAACAACGTTTTTTATAGAGTTTTTCCTCTTCTTTAATTTTGATCTCTACATATTTTGCACTAAAGTTGATAGAAATCGAGTTATTGACAAATAATGAAATAATGAAAAATAAACCAAATTTTAGCCAATTTTTCCAAGATGGGAAAAAAATCAAAACTCCGGGCTTTACGGGGAGTGCAAATTTAATACGTGCTTCTCGACACCAAACTAAACAAAATAAAACTTATTCCAACTTGTCCGGATTTGCTCCCGCCATCGACACCCTTGCCGACTAGCCTATCAAGCCTTCCTCAATATATGTTCAAGCCTAGCATTTAACCTATTAAACAAAAAATATACCTAGGGACTTCATTATAAGTTAAAGTCCGACAAGAAAAAATTCATAATCCTTGAATTATTGCTGGTACATTGATATATAAATAAAATCAGAAGGAGACCGCTCCGATTAATTCTAGTTTTCTACCTTTTTGCTCGACTGGAAAGGCAGTTACTTTTAATCCATAAGGATATTCCGAGATTTGTCATTTTTTCCTTTGGTTATAAGCTTAAAGCTACCTAAAATTCTAAATTTGGAGTTTGTGACACATCTAGAAGTACCTTAGAATTTTGATAATCTGTCAGTGAGTCAATGTCGAAATTAATGAAATTTGACAAGCGATAATTCATAAACTATGAGGGATAATTACTAGATATTTTGGTAACTTAGCCAGCTATAGTATGTCTTCAAGTGTAGTGAAAATTAATATTCTTGCACAACGAAGTTACAAGGTGGTCAAAAGTGCCGCTAATACCTTTGAGAAAAGGAATGGTACGGCTGTGCTCGACTTGGCGGGGGCACTGCCGTGTCCCCAGATTTTGATTCCAAAAATACGTAGTAGTTTTATGTCTACGGAATATTGGGACACCCTGTATGTGATTAGTTAATTCTAAGTATTTCTTAATTGATTGGCTTACTACATGTAACGTATATTGAATAGTTGCTTACTAGTGAAAAGTTTCCTTATTTCTGCTGATTTTTTTCTGCATAACTAACAAATTTACATTCTTTTTCGGCAATTCGCAATAATATTACTGTCAAATTAAGCTTTGACACAATATCATTCTAGATTTACCACCTATTAACAAAACAAATGAATTGTAAGTTTTATCTAAATTTTTATTATATGTATATTAAAATAACGTCTAGAGATTGACCTCGCAAAAATAACATCGATTCTCATTCCCCAGCCGTATTTGACGTCGTTTTTTCTTCGATCATACGGTATTATATTGGTTAAATATTTCAACCATAAAGCTAGCACAATCTAACGTGAATATTTCTGATACACTAAGTTTTTACTTTCATATTTTAAAGAGTTCTAAGTTGAAAATCGAACTAGCAGTATTAATGCTTTCACTTTACAATCAAAGGTGGCGCAGGATGAGGAAACGGTATTTTATAGGTATATTGTTAATATGCGTACCAACTATGAGATTATTTGTTGCAAATGGGACATTTTCAAATGCATTTTTTTATAAAATACTATAAAAATACAGTGGAATACGTTTCTTCATGAATGATAAACATGCCAAATAACTCTAAAGACTTCGAATATTATTTCTTTAAAATATTTTTATAAAAAAAGTGCGAGTATCCACAAAAAGCTCCAATTAAGCTTCCTATTTGACATTTTCGTTCCTGGTTTTTTGCTCCCTTGATTTCTTTTTATAAAATATGTGAAAAATATTAGGGTACCTACATTTTAGAAATATTTTCATAGAAATACAGGGTGTAAATGAAATAAGTTTTGTTACATGGAACATGCAAACCAAAGATAATTCTACTTAGTTAAACCTTATAATCAGATATTGTATATTAATCCGCTAATTGAA